TCTCTCTCTTTGGTATCTTTCTGGTCTGTCTCTGGTCTCCAGCTGGTCTTCCTCTGGTCTCTCTCTGGTCTCTCTCTAGTCTTTCTCTAGTCTCTCTCTCATCTCTTTCTGGTATCTTCCTTGTCTCTATCTCTAGTCTCTCTCTCTGGTCTCTCTATAGTCTCTTTCTGGTCTCTCTCTGGTCTCTTTCTGGTCTCTCAGTGGTGTCTCTCTGGTCTCTTCCTGGTCTCTCTCTAGTCTCTTTCTGGTCTCTCTCTGGTCTCTCTCTAGTCTCTCAGTGGTCTCTCTCTGGTCTCTCTCTGGTCTCTCTCTAGTCTCTCTCTCATCTCTTTCTGGTATCTTCCTTGTCTCTCTCTCTGGTCTCTCTATAGTCTCTCTCTCTGGTCTCTCTCTGGTCTCTCTCTCTGGTCATGATGTAGGCAGCAACAAGCTAGCTAGTCCCACAGACTGTACATTAGAAGTGAACAAACCAAGAGTAGCGTCACCAAACACTGCATAAAATTATGAAAAATAAGTTTAAAAAATGCTCAGATTCGGCAAAATTTGTTTTTATCCGCGTAAAAAACATTAGTCTTATTTATATAACCGTTGCTTTATTTTCTCATCTTTTTAAAACGAGATCATTTAACTTTGTTCCATCGTTAAATCTTGTGTCCGAGTTTAGACACATTTTACCAAATTTGAGCAATTATTTTCCTTTTTTTTTGTCGTAACACAAATGTGGAAAGTATCACTGTGAAGTTAGCGTTTTTCACTTCCTCATTTCCCGGCGGCTAACGCTCTGTAAACAGCCCTCCTGGATCAGCTAACGATCAGAAAGCCTGCTTAAATATTTGTCTTGTTGCGGCTCTAATTACGCGTTAATGGGGCCCGTGCTGGGTTCATTTGTCGCAGCGTGAGGCGGCGGTAAATAAAGCCGCTTAGGTGCATTCTGCAGAAGATGGGCCGGCGTCCAACTGTTTGATCTCCTCCCAGAGAGAGAGGGAGAGCGTCAGGGCCTGCCCCCGCGGGCTGACGGGGCTACTGTATATAACATGTATTATAGAACTCTCATACGATTAACATGTTTGAGTTGATTAATCACATAGTAACTCATTAATAACTCACAGTAATGGTGAGTTAACTCACGATTAATCACATTTTTAACATTCTATTTCAAATCCACTCCATTTGAAGTGAAATGAGATTATCAAATACAACAACACATTGTCGTTCAGACCAAACGTACTTAAGTCTGTTTGATTAACAACCTTTTACTTTTGGGCACAACCAAAACGAGCTGTTCATGAAAGGGAACATTTACGGACCCCAGCTTTAATTTAAAGAGTTTTGTTGTGTTTCAGGAGAAGACACGGACACTTCCTGAGGCTCCATAGTTCAGCTTCAGCTGTGGATTTTTTGCGTGCACACGTTACACAAAGACACACAACATGCAGAGAATAGTCCTGTGCTGTCTGGTCTTATATGACCACGTTACCACGGCGACATTCACCATGGTGTCGTCAAAGCGGCTCACAGCCGCTGGAGGTGGGAACCTCTGTCCAGAGCAGCCGCAGCTGCCCCGGGTCAGAACGCTGCGGTCATGGAGGAATTCAGTTCAGAGCAAACAACAGAAGTGCCCCGCGCTCACGCCTGTATTCTTTTAAAACTTTAATTCCCAGAGACCTGCTCTGTCTCACACACGCATGTGTCCGCGGCTCTGAGAGATATGATGGATACACGGGCGGGTCATTCAGACATGCGTCAAACACATTGATCTTTTTTTTAACTCAATTAATGAAAAATGTAATTAACGCAATAATTTTTACAGTATATATACAATATATTCTAAACCAGGCAATTGTAGCTGAGGAATTTGCCCTGGTATCTACGGAAACGTTCAAAAGTCAGATTTATAGGGTCTAAGGTCTCTCTCTGGTCTCACTGTGGTCTCTCTCTAGTCTTTCTCTAGTTCCTCTCTAGTCTCTCTCTGGTCTTTCAGTTCTCTTTAGTCTCTCCCTCATCTCTCTCTTGTCTCTGTCTTGTCAATCTGGTCTCTCTGGTCCCTCCGGTCTCTTTGTGGTCTCTCTCTGGTCTTTCTCCAGTCTCACTATCACCCATGGTCTCATTATTTTCTCATATAATGCTCATCAGGCCCTTCCTCGCGGCTCAGGCGGCTACAGGAGCAGGATGGAGCTAAAGTTATTCTGTTCTTCTACAAAACAAATATCTGTGTTATTAAAAAACAATCTGCAGCTGCTTCTGGAAAATATGTATTATAGGACGCTTTTGTGTGAGTCGGTTTCATACGGTGGTGGAGGGTTTCTACTAATCTCTAAACTTTGGTCTCACTCTGGTCTCACTGTGGTCTCTCTCTGGTCTCTCTCTGGTCTCACTATGGTCTCTCTCTTGTCTCTCTCTGGTCTCTCTCTTGTCTCTCTCTCCGGACTCTCCCTGGTCTCACTCTGGTCTCACTCTGGTCTCTCTCCGGACTCTCCCTGGTCTCTCTCTTGTCTCTCTCTGGTCTCTCTCTGGTCTCTCTCTGGTCTCTCTCTGGTCTCTCTCTGATCTCTCTCAGCCCAAAACTTCCTCCCTGAGCTCTTCCCTCTCGTGCTTCCTTGAGCAGGTGTGTTAGGTGTTAGTGCAGTCCGTGTGATGTCCATAAACAGGTGGAAAATGCAAATGTGACATTTTGGATTCTTTCCCAATTACCTCCTGTTTAACAATCCATTGTTTCAGTGTGTGTGTGTGTCTGTGTGTGTGTCTGTGTGTGCCTGTGTGTGTGTCTGTATCTGTGTGTGTGTCTGTGTGTGCCTGTGTGTGTGTCTGTGTCTCTTTGTGTGTGTCTGTGTCTCTTTGTGTGTGTGTGTTTTGGGCAAAGGTTGTATGAAGTGAATGAAGAAACCACAATCAATAAAACTTTATTCTCTCAGCTCCTGCACAACAATGTACTGTTGTATTACATCTATAAATGTATAAATATATACAGTATATAGTCCTGTAGACCCAGGACTGAGGCAGTAGACCCAGGACTGAGGCAGTAGACCCAGGACTGAGGCAGTAGACCCAGGACTGAGGCTGTAGACCCAGGACTGAGGCTGTAGACCCGGGACTGAGGCTGTAGACCCGGGACTGAGGCTGTAGACCCAGGACTGAGGCTGTAGACCCAGGACTGAGGCTGTAGACCCAGGACTGAGGCTGTAGACCCAGGACTGAGGCTGTAGACCCGGGACTGAGGCTGTAGACCCGGGACTGAGGCTGTAGATCCAGGACTGAGGCTGTAGACCCGGGACTGAGGCTGTAGACCCAGGACTGAGGCTGTAGACCCGGGACTGAGGCTGTAGACCCGGGACTGAGGCTGTAGACCCAGGACTGAGGCTGTAGACCCAGGACTGAGGCTGTAGACCCGGGACTGAGGCTGTAGACCCGGGACTGAGGCTGTAGACCCAGGACTGAGGCTGTAGACCCAGGACTGAGGCTGTAGACCCAGGACTGGGGCTGTAGACCCAGGACTACAGTAAGTGGCTGTTAACCAGGTCCAGACTGGTCGGACTCTGACCCTGAGGACAAACTCATTTCCTTCTTCACACTCGGACTCTGCGTTCAGGATTCACAGCGGGTTAATTGCCTTTGTGAAGCCTCTCTGTCTCAGACCTGCTGAGTGTTGACTGTAAAAAGGAAAAATGCATTGTTTGTGGAATTAACGAGAAGCTGAGAAATAATAATGTAATTTAAGAGATAAATGTAAAATCAACTCGAAGAACACTTAAATACATCACCACCGTTTGTGTGACTCTAACTGTTACAACTGTCCAGATGTAGACAAGGCACTGCACCTCTCGGCAGAGGTCAGTGCTCTAAGAGTGGTTTTTTGTTTTCTCATTAACACTTGGGTTCCCGATAGACAGAGACCAGATGGAGACTAGAGAGAGAGAGACCAGAGAGAGACCAAAGAGAGACCAAAGAGAGACCAGAGAGAGAGACCAGAGAGAGACCAAAGAGAGACCAAAGAGAGACCAGAGAGAGACCAGAGAGAGACAAGAGAGAGACCAAAGAGAGACCAGAGAGAGACCAGGGAGAGACCAGAGAGAGACCAGAGAGAGACCAGAGAGAGACCAGAGAGAGACCAGAGAGAGACAAGCGATAGACCAGAGAGAGACCAGGGAGAGACCAGGGAGAGACCAGAGAGAGACCAGAGAGAGACCAGGCAGAGACCAGAGAGAGACCAGAGTGAGAGACCAGAGAGAGACCAGAGAGAGACCAGAGAGAGACCAGGCAGAGACCAGAGAGAGACCAGAGAGAGATCAGAGATAGACCAGAGAGAGAGACCAGCGAGAGAGACAGATAGAGACCAGCGAGAGAAACAGATAGAGACCAGCGAGAGAGACAGATAGAGACCAGGGAGAGACCAGAGAGAGACCAGAGAGAGAAAGTTTTAGATTTTATTTTACTCTGTTTTTTTAGTACAGCGTTGTTACCAAACACTTACTGTATCTTGTGCTGTCTGTACCTGGTGATGCAACACTGGCATTTCCCGCACTGTCAAACAGGATCTCTTCATCATAAACTCTGTCTGTATGAAAATAAAAGTCATATTTGTGAGAGAAGTCCAGGGATCTAAACTCAACGGAGCTTCCCAAATCTCTCCCAGTCCTCTGCATCCATCACGCCTCCTTTACTCACCTGTCAGGAGTGAGACGTCCTCCCCCCTCCTCCCACCCTCCTCCCACCCTCCCCCCTCCCTCCCCCCTACTCCCCCATTGGCCGAAACACACTCATTGATCTGCGTGGCCGCGGGGAGCCTGTGTTTACCTCATCAAGCACGCAACCGAGTGTGGCGCATAAACAAAATGGAAGAAATAAAAAAGAGCCAGTGGGGGTTATCAAGCACTGACCCTTCTGTAATGACATTCTCTCTCCCCCCCCCACCCCCTGCCTCCCCCCCGCGGCCGGAGGGGGGAGGCAAAAAGAGAGAGAGAGAGAGGTTTGCTGATAACGACGGCCACTCTCTTGGATTGCCTTCAGACGCAGTTATCTTGGAGCAGCAGTCTCTCCAGTCGCTGCTGGAGAGAGGGGCTCATGGGGAGAGCTTCAGGGGCAGGTTCAGACGGTCCTGATGAGATCTGGGGGAGGATTGTGAGGAGAGAGAGAACAGAAGGAGACCGGGAACAGAAGGAGGCCGGGGACAGAGGGAGAGCAGGGCACGTCTTTACATGATAGTCACACTGAAAGGAGACACATTAGAAACACTTTGAACTTCTTTCTCTGGTCTCTCTTCGGTCTCTCTGGTCTCTCTTTGGTCTCTCTCTGGTCTCTCTCTGGTCTCTCTCTGGTCTCTCTCTAGTCTTTCTCTGTTCTCTCTCTCTGGTCTCTCTTTGGTCTCTCTCTGGTCTCTCTCTCTCTCTCTCTGGTCTCTCGCTGGTCTCTCTCTGGTCTCTCTTTGGTCTCTCTCTGGTCTCTCTCTCTCTCTCTCTGGTCTCTCTCTGGTCTCTCTCTGGTCTCTCTTTGGTCTCTCTCTGGTCTCTCTCTGGTCTCTCTCTGGTCTCTCTTTGGTCTCTCTCTGGTCTCTCTCTGGTCTCTCCTTGGTCTCTCTCTGGTCTCTCTCTGGTCTCTCTCTGGTCTCTCTCTGGTCTCTCCTTGGTCTCTCTCTGGTCTCTCTCTGTTTTCTCTCTAGTCTCTCTCTGTTCTCTCTCTTTGGTCTCTCTCTGGTCTGTCTCTGGTCTTTCTTAGGTCTCTCTGGTCTCTCTCTCTCTCTCTCTGGTCTCTCTCTGGTCTCTCTCTGGTCTCTCTTTGGTCTCTCTCTGGTCTCTCTCTGGTCTCTCTCTGGTCTCTCTTTGGTCTCTCTCTGGTCTCTCTCTGGTCTCTCCTTGGTCTCTCTCTGGTCTCTCTCTGGTCTCTCTTTGGTCTCTCTCTGGTCTCTCTCTGGTCTCTCCTTGGTCTCTCTCTGGTCTCTCTCTAGTCTCTCTCTGTTCTCTCTCTTTGGTCTCTCTCTGGTCTGTCTCTGGTCTTTCTTAGGTCTCTCTGGTCTCTCTCTCTCTCTCTGATATCTCTCTAGCTTCTCTTTGGCTCCTTCTTTAGAATAATGTCTGTGTTTGCAGCCGGTTATTCTCAACATTGTCAATCAAACTCTCCACCTTCCCCCTAGGCAGCAGAGAGCGTTACACACATATATTTATATACACGTTCTACCAAAGTCATAATTCCACATTCTAAATCACCGAACGACAACCTAAACAGCCTCATTATTATCTATGAGCCAAAACAAAAATCTCATAAATTCTTCTTCTCCTCTTTTCTACCGCCCTTCTCTCTGCTCCGGGCCCAGACGGATGCTCTCTCCTCAAACACCATCAGTTAGCTAACGCGAGCTCGTATTTGTCTTTACAAGATGGTATCGACGTTTGGGAGATCATGCAGAAAATGAAGTGTCGTGTGCTGAAGAGCGCGCTAATACCTCTGGTACAGGGACCAGCAGGAGACAGATCTCGCACCGAGGCTGACAAGTCTCTCTCGTCTCAATGGAAATGGGCTTCTCCGCATTATTAAGCGCGACGACCCGGTGTCTTCAAAGGTTCTGTTCTCTCTCTGCTCTCTCCCTCTGTTCTGTTTATCTATCTTTCTCTGATCTGTCTCTCTGGTCTCTCTAGGATGGTCTCTCTCTCTGGTCTCTGTATTCTCTCTTGTCTCCCTCTAGCGGGTTCCTCTCTCTCTTGTTAACCTCTCTCTGGTATAGCTATCTGGTCTTTCCTGCTCCCTGGTCACTCTCTCTCTCTGGCCTATATCTCTCTTGTCTCTCTCTATCTCTGGTTTCTATGGTCACTCTCTCTGGTATCTCTGTCTCTGGTCTCTCTCTCTAGTCTCTTTCTCTGGTCCCTCTCTCTCTTGCCTCTCTAGCCTCTCCCTGGTCTCTCTTGCCTCTCCCTGGTCTCTCGTGCTCTTTCTCTTTCCATGGTCTCTCTCTGGTCTCTGTCCCTCTGTACCCTCTCTCTCTAGTCTGTCTCCCTGGTCTATCTCTCTCTGGTCTCTCACTCTAGTCTCTCTCTCTCTGGTCTCTCATGCTCTCTCTCTCTCTCCATGGTCTCTCTCTGGTCTTGGTCCCTCTGTACCCTCTCTCTATAGTCTGTCTCCCTGGTCTCTCTTGCCTCAGCTGAACCTAATCTGCTGAGTCTGACCACAAAGTTAGATTCCCGAGCTTTAAATCCAGTTAGAGTTCATGCTGTTCCCCTGATAACAGCCGATAGTTCCTGTAAATGTAAATGGTCTGTGGACAACCATCTGCTCTGTCGGTGTTGTTCTGGTCTGTTAGTCGTATTGATCGGATGTAGCTAATTGTAAGTCTGCCTCTTTTCTCACAGAAAGGTCTGGTCCTGATTAGTGTATTTTAAGCTCTGGTCTCTCTTTGGTCTCTCTCTGGTCTCTCTCTGGTCTCTCTCTGGTCTCTCTTTGGTCTCTCTGGTCTCTCTTCGGTGTCTCTCTGGTCTCTCGCTGGTCTCTCTCTGGTCTCTATCTGGTCTCTCTCTGGTCTCTCTCTAGCCTCTCTCCGGTCTCTCTCTGGTCTCCCTCTGGTCTCTGTCTGGTCTCTCTGTGGTCTCTCTCTCTGGTCTCTCTCCGGTCTCTTTCTGGTCTCTCTCTGGTCTCTCTCTGGCCTTTCTCTGGTCTCTCTCTGGTCTACGTCTCTGGTCTCTCTCTTGCCTCTCTCTAGCCTCTCTCTGGTCTCTCTTTGGTCTCTCTGGTCTCTCTTCGGTGTCTCTCTGGTCTCTCTCTGGTCTCTCTGGTCACTCTCTGGTCACTCTCTCGCTTCTCTCTGGTCTCTCTCTCTCTTGCCTCTCTCTGGTCTCTCTCTCTCGCCTCTCTCTGGTCTCTCTCTCTCTCACCTCTCTCTGGTCTCTCTCTCTCGCCTCTCTCTGGTCTCTCTCTGGTCTCTCTCGTCCTGATCCGTGTGCGATAGCAGTCATTTTCCTGCGTGTGGATGATCGCTCTTTGTTCTTGGTAAATGCCCAGATTGGTTCCTTTGATTTTGGGAGTTCATGGTCCATTCTGCAGACTTCTGAGAGCTGCTATTACAACACATTACGCAAGTCGTTCCACCTAACGACGCGTTTATGGTCTCACTTCAAAGACCAGAAGTTACCGTCGCGTTTTAGCAGAAACTTTGATCTCGCTGCAAAGATACGAGAATCATTTACAAAAGAACAGACAATAATTATGCACTCGCTGCTCAGGATGACTTTGGAAACTTAGACTCTCTCTGGACTCTCCCTGGTTTCTTTCTCTAGTTTCTCTATCTGCTCTCTCTCTCTGGTCTCTCTCTGGTCTCCCTCTGGTCTCTCTCTGGTCTCTCTCTCTGGTCTCCCTCTGGTCTCTCTCTGGTCTCTCTCTGGTCTTTCTCTGGTCTCTCTCTCTCTGGTCTCTCTCTGGTCTCTCTCTCTGGTCTCTCTCTGGTCTCTCTCTGGTCTCTCTCTCTGGTCTCTCTCTGGTCTCCCTCGGTCTCTCTCTCTGGTCTCTCTCTGGTCTCTCTCTGGTCTCCCTCTGGTCTCTCTCTGGTCTCTTTCTGGTTTCTCTCTGGTCTCCCTCTGGTCTCTCTCTCTGGTCTCTCTCTGGTCTCTCTCTGGTCTCTCTCTGGTCTCCCTCTGGTCTCCCTTTCTGATGTAAATGTATTTATTTGTCTTTGAGCCTCGTTCGTCTGTTTCAGCCTGTGGTTAACTCATGGATCTATAATAATAACTGGGTAGGGTATTACTAGCTTTTAGCTGTCCCACCTATGGGCACAGGGGGCGCTGTGGTACTGCAGACGAAATCCACATGGGCTACCCAGAAAACAGTCCCATAGAACTCAATGTAAAACAGCTCGACCTCTGCTGACAGAGAACCTGACAGAGAACCTACAGCTTTCATAAAGGTCAGATTTTGTGGGGATTTTAGTGTCCCTTGTCATCCTGAACCTTTTTTCTTCTTAAATCCTTCTCTTGGATCACTGGAGCTCGGGTTAACTTCACTCCAAAAAATGATCAGATATGACGTTTCTTTTACACTTTTTTCAGTGTAGTCTCATTGACTCATAATATTAAAGGAGGATGTTCTACTTCCAGGTGGATCATCAAGACTATTGGTCCTCCCATCTGTCAATCATTCTGGAGATACGAGCTCGTCCAATAAGACCAGAGAGATTTGTTCAAAAAGGGAGAGGGCGGTTCTTTCCTAAAATTTGGGAAAATCCTCCTACAAACATCCATCCATCCATCCATCCATCCATCCATCCATCCATCTTCTACCCTTTAATCCATTTCTGGGTCAGGGGGGTGACAGTCAGAGATGCCACCCAAGTCTCATAGCACCAGCCCCTCACTGACCCTCTGCAGGTGGTGAGTCCACAGGAGGACGGCTGCTCTCTGAGTGTGAGCATAGCCTTGATCTTTCAGTGGGGGCTTCAGGCAAAGTGGGGTTAAGTGTCTTGCCCAAGGACACAACGACAGCAGTCATCAGTGGGAGTCGGTGGAGAAGGTGTAGAGGTGGGAATTGAACCCACGACCTTCTGGCCTTAAGGCCAATGCTCTACCAACTGAGCTACTGTCGCCTCCTCCTACAAACATTTATCTTAAAAATAAATAATATGTATCATTGGTACATATCACAGGTAAATATGGGCCAAACCAGAGAGAAGCAGGAGTCATGGAGAGATGTTGTAATTCCCACTTGTCGTGTTTAATTAGTGAAAGTAGGGAGTAAATGAGTCATCGGAGTGAGTGGACTTTAGACTCAGGAAACCAGTCCAAGTGTAATAATGGAATCAATTCTCCTTCTGCTCCAAAAGTTAATTAAACGTTACTGCAATCTCTGTAATTAGGCCGAACGGTGCCGGGATTCACTGAGACCGGAGAAAAGACCAAGACATTGTTCATTTAATCAAAAGTAAAGGCTTTTGATTATGGTGGTTTAAAGATCAAAAATAATGTAATGTTTTGTGTTTTACATGTGTCTCCTTTATGTTACAGCCTGAGTCCAGGGTCTACAGCCTCAGTCCTGGGTCTACAGCCTGAGTCCTGGGTCTACAGCCTCAGTCCTGGGTCTACAGCCTCAGTCCTGAGTTTACAGCCTCAGTCCTGGGTCTACAGCCTCAGTCCTGGGTCTACAGTACAGCCTCAGTCCTGGATCTACAGCCTCAGTCCAGGGTCTAGAGCCTCAGTCCAGGGTCTACAGCCTCAGTCCTGGGTCTACAGCCTCAGTCCAGGGTCTACAGCCTCATTCCTGGGTCTACAGCCTCAGTCCAGGGTCTTCAGCCTCAGTCCAGGGTCTTCAGCCTCAGTCCAGGGTCTACAGCCTCAGTCCAGGGTCTTCAGCCTCAGTCCAGGGTCTACAGCCTCAGTCCAGGGTCTACACTCTCAGTCCGTTCGTGGGAGCAGATCCCTCTCTCAACACGGGCCTCCTTGATGTTTTTCACTTTTTTCCCCACTGGGTTTTTGAGTGGTTCCTTGGCGATGCAGGAGGATGCTCTCTCTCCTCTCTCTCTCTCCCCTACTCTCCCGCTCTCTCTCTCCCTCCTCTCTCTCTCTCTCTTATCTCCGACTGTGAAATGAATGCACTAAATGGGCATAGCAGCGCAGACTGCAGAGATGTGTTTTTGCATGGGGGATGATGGGGGAGGACGGGGGAGACGGGGGAGATAAGCGTGACGCAGCAGTAAAGTTCCATTGAGGCTCCTCGCGGTGGCAGAGCGCCGTGATATGATCCGACGTAATGAAGAGCAGATAAGAACAGCGCGCTCCAGCTGCTGAAATGTGATCTTTGTATTATGTTCCAAAGTGCATTTAGAGACGAGTCAAGTGACGCAGACCCGGGACGAGCTAATGGGAGCTAATGGGAGCCAAAGGGAGCTAATGGGAGCTAAGTGTCGCCTTGTGAGAAAGCAGGCTGTGTCATTGTATGGGGCCCTGCGCCTTGATAACCCAAAGTACTCCCTCTGGTCTCTCTCTGGTCTCACTTTGGTCTCTCTCTCTGGTCTTGCTCTGGTCCCTCTCTGGTCTCTCTCTCTAGCCTCTCTCTCTAGTCTCACTTTGGTCGCTCTCACTGATCTCACTTTGGTCTCTCTCTGGTCTCTCCCTCTCGTTTCTGTCTGGTCTCTCTCTCTGGTCTCTCTCTGGTCTGTCTCTCTGGTCTCTCTCTTGTCTCTCTGGTCTCTTTCTGTTCTCTCTCTGCTCTCTCTCTCTGTTCTCTCTCTGGCCTCTCTCTGGTCTGTCCCTCTAGTCTCTTTCTGGTCTCTCTCTCTGGTGTGTCTCTCTGGTCTCTCTCTGGTCCCCCCCTGCTCTCTCTTTCTGGTCTCTCTCTCTGGTCTCTATCTGGTCACTGGCCCGTCTCTCTGGTCTCTCTCTCTGATCAGTCTCTCTCTCTAGTCTCTCCCGCTCGTCTCTGTCTGGTCTCTCTCTCTAGTCTGTCTCTCTCTCTAGTCTGTCTCTCTCTCTTGTCTCTCTGGGCCGTCTCTGGTCAGTCTCTATCTCTCTCTGGTCTCTCTCTAGTCTCTCCCGCTCGTCTCTCTCTGGTCTCTTTCTGGTCTCTCTCTCTCTCTGGTCTCTCTCTAGTCTCTCTCTGGCCTCTCTCTGGTCTCTTTCTGGTCTCTCTCTCTCTGATCTGAAATAAGACTTACTAAGCACCATTACAGATCCTAAACACAAGTTCACAGTGTCATCCAGCCAGCTTCAGCTCCGACAGTGAAAGGCATGTTACACCTCAAGCTCAGAACCTCTTGAATCCATTTTGTATGTTTGAGATTTTCTCTTCATTGACGTCTCAAAATGGCGTCTATGGCACCGATGAAGCCAGAGAGAAAGTAAGACGAGAAAGTTTATCATTCAGCCAAATCCAGCTCAATATGTTTATGTCATACCTCATTTTACATTTCAGAACAGGCAGATTCCAGCCTAAATAGTTTTACAATTTGTGTTGTCGACCCTTGAACATGTTTGGAAAACTAAAGTGACCCTCTTACAAAAAGTTTGGACACCCCTGGTCTGAGGACAGAGATGATCCAGGACTTTTAAAATCGCTTTTACAATGTCCAGAGTTCAGATATGTTTCCATTCTCTGCACACGGTGATGACCGAGGAACACATTCAGACCGATTGTACATGTTTTTAGAGGTGGGGGAAACAGGAGCACCTGGAGGAAACTTACGCAGACACAGGGAGATCATGCAAACTCCACACAGAACGGGCTGGAGGTGGAATCAAACCTACAACCTTCTTCTTTCTGTGAAACCCAATGTCTAACAAACACATTAAAACCACATAAACAGATCCTGGTGCGCGTCCCTCTGTTTGAGACGCTCTCTGCTGCCGGGTCCAGATCTGTTTTTAGCAGCAGATGATTCAGAGCAGTTTGGACGTGTGTAAATCAACAGACAACATGGCGCGCTCTGATGATAACAAAGTCATTAGTGGAATGGCTGACTCACTTTGACGACTCTTCGGTCCAACACATCGGCGCTGTCCCGGAGCCAGAGCGTGACGCAACACCTCCGCGGGTCACGCCGGGTCCACACACGAGCCGCCAGCGAGAGACTGACTCACAAATATCAACCACTTTAAAGCCGGGGGAGTTTCAGACCACAACAGATCTGTGATAGTAATAATAATAATCATAATAAAATAATAAATACATAATTTTATTTAGAGCTTTTCTGGACTCTCAAAAGAAGCCTCACTTTCACTCCAACCACAGCTGCCCTGGGGCACACTGACAGAAGCGAGGCCACCAATCTGTGCCATCGGCCCCTCCCACCACCACCAACCATTCACACACACACACCAGACTCATTCTAATGTGGGGGAAGTGTCTTGCCTAAGGACACAGCCACAGATTGGCACTTTACAGTCGCAGCTGCCCGACTGTGGCACCTGCTGTTCCCAGAGGTCTCCCATCACAGTACTAACCAGGACCAACCCTGCACAGCTTCAGAGGTCTGGCTTTGCAGGGGGCGCCAAACTAGTTATTTGCTCTCAACACATTATGATTAGTTTTCAGCTCTAAGCCAATCAGCTCTCGGCCAATCAGCTCTCACCCCAAAGAGTCGAATAGTGACTCACAGGGACCTTTATGCAGTCTATATCATGTTTTTCTACTAAAATGCGGACGGCACACAACACTTTTCGTTCTGTTGGACAAAATACATCATTTCAAACATGATGTTTGTATGCTAGCTTGTGTACAGCTAACATTATTAGCATGTGTGTGTGCAGTAAGTCTTAGCCGTTGGAAAAACTGCAAAAGAATCTCAACTTGTGTCTGAAATGCCAATAAATATGAAGTACATTGCTCTTTTAGTTATTTTTGTATGTACTTTTGATGTTGTCTGTTATTTTTGCTCATTGTATTGTATTTTAATCATTAGCACTTTGAGCTTTGATGGAAATGTAAGGTGCGTGTTTGCAGTGGTAGGAAAAACCGGAGCACCTGGAGAAAACTTGATACCTTTCTTTTCCTCTATCATTCCCTGTTCTCTACACATGACTCACAGCCTGAGTGATCCTTCTGTAGCGAAATGCATCCCATATAGTTCTCCATTATAAGGTCTTATCTTACCTATTGTACATGTTTTTAGTGCTAGGGGAAACCGGAGCACCTGGAGGAAACCATGAGAACATGCAAACTCCACATAGAATGGCCTGGAGGTATAATCGAACCCAGGACCGCTCTCTGGTCTCTCTCTGGTCTCTCTCTGGTCTCTCTCTGGTCTCTCTCTCTGGTCTCTCTCTGGTCTCTCTCTGATCTATCTCTGGTCTCTCTCTGGTCTCTATCTGGTCTCTCTCTGGTCTCTTTCTGATCTATCTCTGGTCTCTCTCTGGTCTTTCTCTCCTGTCTCTCTCTGGTCTCTCTCTCTGGTCTATCTCTGGTCTCTCTCTCTGGTCACTCTCTGGTCTCTCTCTGGTCTCTCTCAGGTCTCTCTCTCTGGTCTCTCTCTAGTCTCTCTGGTCTCTCCCTGGTCTCTCTCTGGTCTCTCTCTGGTCTCTCTCTGGTCTCTCTCTGGTCTCTCTCTGGTCTCTCTCTGATCTCTCTCTGGTCTCTCTCTGGTCTCTCTCTAGTCTCTCTCTAGTCTCTCTGGTCTCTCCCTGGTCTCTCTCTGGTCTCTCTCTGGTCTCTCTCTCTGGTCTCTCTCTAGTCTCTCTCTAGTCTCTCTCTCTGGTCTCTCCCTGGTCTCTCTCTGGTCTCTCTCTCTGGTCTCTCTCTGGTCTCTCTCTCTGGTCTCTCCCTGGTCTCTCTCTGGTCTCTCTCTCTGGTCTCTCCCTGGTCTCTCTCTCTGGTCTCTCTCTGGTCTCTCTCTGGTCTCTCTCTGATCTCTCTCTGGTCTCTCTCTGGTCTATCTCTGATCTCTCTCTGACTAAATGGTAAATTGTATTTACTGTAACCGCACCAGAATGTAGTTTTCTGTCTGGTTAGGTTTTGCTGTAAGTAAGTAATCTTTCTTTTTGTATCGTCTTAAATCACAACAGTACAGTAGTTTATCTCAGAGAACTTCACAAAGTTGTCGATTCTCCAATACAGATTAGAAAATCAAACAGTTT